ATTTATTAAAAACACTTTTGAAAATTACAAATGCTGTTCTTGTCCTTGTCCTCAGCCAAATTGGACCTACAGCTTTCATAGTTTTGTTATGCTAAAAACTGTTTAGAAAAAAAACTCCATCAATTACAAGTTTAAGTTGTTATCATTCACATCATCTGATTAAAAACATGAAATTATACATAAATTCTACAAATAAATACTATTTTACAACTGTCCCCATGTTTTCGGTCAGTCCTGTCACGTTTACATAAAACTCAACATAAAATGTGTGTAATGCGCCTTTAAAGGTATGACTCAAAGGAAGTGACATAATTTGACTGAGGTGAAGCTGACACTGATCAAGGGTGAGTTCTGTCATTGAACTGTATGATTTTAAGCTTGTTTTTGTATGTTTTTTTTGAGGAGGACGAGCTAAAGGGCCAGGCCCTGTCACGGTAAAACATCCTAGAAAATAATGAAAATCTTTTAAATCCAAAACATGTCTAAAAAAGTGACTGAAATTCCTTGATTGCATGTTAACAGTTTTTATGCTAGCATGCTGGCAGGCTGAGTAATGGCAGTTTAAAATGGCCGACCGTCTGGCCCTGTCACACAGCCTTACAAATGAATGGCATTGTTGTTTTTTATTACCTTTATTGCATGTAATATGTATTTAACGCATGCCATAGTAAAACATTATTTGAATAAATAGACATTACACTGTAAATCTGAAGCTTTTTATGCTCATCGACAAATTTTTTGAATTTTATCCCTCTTTTACCTAGGCCTATGTAGCACTGCATATTAGTATATTAATTGTATTTCAATACATATGAAGAGTTTATTTGCAAAAACAGATAACTAAATTTTTAACAATTCTCTGAAATCATGTTTTTTCATTGTGCATTCCAATTAATCTCAATCAAACTTTAGTTGGGTTATTTTGATTAGCTTAAAAAATAACTAATAATTACAGCTAAGTAACACAATAAAAACATGATTACATAAAAAACATGATTTTTGAACATTTAAAAAAACGGAGTTATCTGTTTTTGCAAATAAACTTTATATATAGATGTAATTGTCATCTATATAAGCTTTGAGTAATGATGACTGTAATTATTCCAATTCATACAGATACCATGGTAATATCTACATTATTACCTAGGAAATTACATGCAATTTCCGTTATTACCATGTCATTTCCTAAGTAATAATGCAGATATTACCATAGTATTGCCCTGTTATTACTGAGCCATAATATTATGTGGTACCACAGTTACTTTACTTTGTGCTATTCAGTTAAATGTCTATACATTTGCTGTATCATAGTAAAATATACTTTATATATTATGAAGTTATATTTATATTTATTACACCCGCGTACGCGTAGCACAACACGGGGTTATTGTTTTCACTCCTGTCTGAGTTTGTGCCATTCAAGTTGGTAATTGTTATTGTTAAATTAATTTTACCATATTAGTAGCACCGTTACAATTTTGTTTTCACTCCTGTCTGTGTTTGTGCCATTGTGCAATTCTAGTTGTTTATTTTTATTTTGCAAGTAGTCAAGTGATTTGAATATGATTCCTCTGCAGTTTTGAATGAGTTGCCTTCCAAATAGGCTATGTCATAAAAAGCTGTCTTAAAAGTAAACCTCTATTAAACAACTTTAATTGTGAATAGTGCATAAGGAACAGTTGATTAAATGAATGATTCAGTTACCAGAAATTTATATTACAAGTTATTAAGATGAGCTCAAAAGACTTCAATCGTGTTCTGTATAGGAATCATACAGAATTGGTAGGTAGACCTACAAAACATAACTGCTATATTTATTTATCACTTTTACAAACATACTTATTACAGTTGCATATTGTATACTGATATGTTACATTCTGAAGCTGGTAGTAAAAATGTGAGTAGACTAATTTATAATATTTACATACATTAAGATATTTTAATTGTGGACTAATTAAAATAATCTTTACATAGCTGTTGTCTACATTTTCTTTAAAAGACTATTTTTATGAAATGTTTACCTGAACATTAGCTTTTTAACTTTGACTTTGGTCAAATTAATTGTATTTATAAAACATGCTTTGTTTGTTTCACAAAAATAGTTTCATGTCAAATAATAACTGGCAGACTGTACCTCCACAGGCCCCGTAAATCACAAGACTCTTCCAGAGTCTAACTTGTTGTTACATTTTGGTTGTGAATTTTTGTAACTTGAACATACAATATAAATACATGAATAATATATGAATTTGCCAAAACCACACTTCACTTACATCATTTGTGTTTATGCAAACAAGCAAAGATCTGCATTTTTGTGCATGTCACCTCCCTCTTCCTGCCTTTCTCCTCTTTGTCTGCAGTGAAGACATTAATGAATGACCAGATCCATTACCGAAAAGGGGAGAAGAGAGCAACTGCAAGTCATGTCAGTGAACGAGCAACTGATTTATTTATCAGCATAGCAAAATGACCTTATAATAGTCAAACACAGCTGATGACTCATTCACAAAGGATCATCCAGTGTTGTTCCCTGATGGTTTAGTCTGTTTTGGGAAAACGCTGATTTGTACAGGTAAGAACATCTACATCTACAATTCTGTATAGGTTTTGCTATTGCTTTGCAATGCAGTCAGTGCAATAAATGCTTGTAAGTATCTATGATTTGAATACACATCTGACATAAGAAGTGTTCTTAAACAGTTTGAGCACAACAGGATTTTCTGCCATCTGATACACATTGTGGTTGCATCTTCTTGCAAAATGATGAACATTTTTATCTCTTTCAACATTCAAGAAATTTTTGAGAGAACCCACGGTGAATTAATCTTTCAAGTTAGCTTAGAAATTGACATCAAGACAGATTTGTTTTTTTAAACTGAAATAACATTCATCGATTTATCTCTCTTGATTGTAGAATGAGCTCCAATATAACTCTTCTCCTCCACACCCACTCTGAGCTCTCAAACACTACAGCGGACATTGAGGCCATTATGAATAAGGTTAGTATTGCCTTCCTCAACGTCATTGTTCTCCTCGGCACCACCGGGAACTCTGTGGTCATCTGGGTGGCCGGCTTCCTCATGAAGCGCAATGTCACTAACGTATGACTGGTCAATCTAGCCGTAGCGGACCTGATCTTCTGCCTGACACGAGTCATATCACTCATCTCAAGTCTTTTCTTTAGCCATTGGCCTTTTGGAGTTTTTCTCTGCAAGTTCAATGGTTTCTTCAAGTATGCCAACATGTTCTGCAGTGTTTTTCTTCTGGCTGTCATCAGTGGGGATCGAGCGCTCTGCGTCTGGTGTCCAGTGTTCACCAGAGAACGACGGACATTATGTGCTGCTCGAGTGGTCAGTGTGGGAGTTTGGATTGTGGCGGTGATCTTTAGTTCACCTTACTTTGTTTACCGACAAGTCTACCTTGGCAAGAACAACTTGAGCCAATGCTCGCTGGAGGTCAGAATGACTGCACAAATATATAAATAATCATGTATATACATGATTTTATTTAGTAAATGTTTATGTGTGTCATCATTTTGAATGACAGACCTTATAATTTTGTTTGCAGCACAAAGCAGCAGAATCAGGAGACAATTCAGCAAAGTATGTCTACTACTGCATTCATTTCATCTGTGGATTCTTGTTGCCTTTCCTGGTCATTCTTATCTGTTACATACTAGCTGCTGTTGGGATACGCAGAACGCGACTCTGTGGAAAATCGAGGCCTCTTCGGATTCTTGCTGTATTGGTCTGTGCCTTTTTCTTATGTTGGGCTCCATACCAATTTCTAGGGCTGGTCAAGTTGGTGAATGAAGACAACGTGGCAGTAAAAGTGGGATGGAGTATGTCTTCAAACTTAGCCTATTTCAACAGCTGCATTAATCCGGTTCTGTATTTAAGCATGGGACTGGATGTTAGTCGACGCTGCAACCAAAGCCTGTCTGGGATTTTTCATAGAGCGCTTATGGAGGAAGGCCAAAGTCTTTCACAGCAAGGCAATGGGGAAGAAAGCTCCATTCCAAAGACTGCAGATATTGAGTGTGTTACTGTAGTTTAAAATAACTTTTTACAAGGACATTTTTACGATGAGATTGATAGGATGAAAATGTTTCTTTGCTGCATGCATTGTGTCCTCCACAGTTTCCATTAAAAATACATCATATATTTACAAGACAAAGCCAGAGCCAAATAAGAATTTTAATATACTATACCATTATTGACAAATTATTTTCTGGTTTGAAATAAATTATTTAATCATAATCTTGTCAAACAGCTTTGGAAATGGCAGCCTTTTCCCATACAAATAGATAGGAGCTGTGCTTGTTTGCCTAAAATAAAGAATTTAAAGAATTGTTGAGAGAAGTTAAAAAGTTCAAGAAAATAATATGTGTTCAGATTTTCTTCATTGATATCTGTTTTTAACGATTTGGGGGGAATTCTGTTTTTTATAGTTTTCAAGAGTAATTGGCATTCTTCAGAAAAAAAAGGAAGTGAACTTTTCTACAGAAGGTTTTTGCACCTCACTTGGTAAAAAGTTTTATTTAAAGAATTGTTCAGATGAGGAAGGACCATTTCTAATAAACAGAGGGAAAGCAAAGATATTTTGTGGAAATTAATATTTGAAAAAGCTGATAAAACTAAAGCCCAGATAAGACTGAATATAGCCTACACAGTGTTTTAAATACAGGATGTGTCATACTTGCTGACTATGTATTTGTGCTCTTGTGAAACTGCAAGTCTCCTCATGGCCCCATGGCGACAAAAAATGCTTATGAACAGTTACAAAGAGGCTGCAAAACCAAAGGTGAAATTAATTCAAAACAGTTACATATTTCATAACTTTTAACACTCCATAAAAAATCCCTTTATTATGTTCTACCATTTGAACTTATGTGAGTCAATGCAATCCTTAAAGCAACTGTATCCATTTTCTACCTTGCAATATCAGTTTCAGAATCTGGTACACTGACTTCTAATAAGGCAAAGGTTTTTTTTTTTTTTTTTACGTTTGGTGAGCAGGTACCAAATTCCAACAAAAAAATGCGGCAGCAACAAATGCACGTGTACACTATCCACTGTAATTACAACAGTGTATTCCACTCGCTTAACTGAAGGGGGCTCTAAAGTCACAAAAATACACAAAACTTTAAATAGCCGTCTATGAGGCTTTCTATCACCAGCAAAGAAGGTCATGAGCATGGCCACCCATCCCAGTATGTAGGACCAGGAGAAGCGCCAGTCTCTGAACCGCTTGCCCAGAAAGCTTAGGGTTACGCCAGTGTAGATCGACATAGCCAGCAGCACAAACAAAGTTGGGTGTGAAAAAAAAGGGATGGGTTAAAAATGGGAAGAGGAAACGTAGTGCCATCTATATTTTTGACTTTAAGGGTTTAGAGATAAGTTGATTACTGTAGAGGGTGTGTCATTTCCCAGTGCCCCAAAAGGTGTTAACTCGACTTGATCAATGCAAATTCAAATTGCTAGTTCCTGTCTCCATTTTTGGAGAATGTTTGCCTTGGTCAGGGCGATTCTGTAGTCAGAAGCCTGTAACCTAGAGTGTGTCCACACACTCTATGTTATGTATCTTTCTAAAGTCAGGTATGCATCTTACTCTTAGATTCATCTTTGAGAATTTGATGTCTTATATTGATTTGATATCTTTGAATTGGCTATGTAATTGGCATAATACATATTTACCTGACTGATAATATTGTTACATTTGAATTTATTCTGACTTACTCTGAGATGATTGACTCTAATTAATTGTGTTAAGTCTATAACACTGCAAATCTGCACACAGGTTAGTAACGAACTAAAATGTTTTAGAGCTCCGGCTAACACACTGGCACTAGTTATGTATACTTAGACTGTAGAGGCTATTGGGTTTTTCCATTTAGAACAACAGTGTGTTGCTGACCTTCAACGTGGTTCTATAGTAATGGTTATGACCTCTGGTTAGATATAGTCTAACTAGAGGCAATCACAGCCGCTGATATAGAGCCGGTATCGCTCTCGTACTTGAGTGATATTGCGTTTATACAACAGTTCGACGGAACATGTGTGTAATTAAACAAGAAACAACAGAGTGCCTAATAAAACCCTCTTTTGTGCGGAACTACTTCCTTCCGCCACAGATTCAAACCTCAAGTTGACAGTTAAACATACAGGTGCATCTCAATAAATTAGAATGTCGTGGAAAAGTTCATTTATTTCAGTAATTCAACTCAAATTGTGAAACTCGTGTATTAAATAAATTCAATGCACACAGTATATTTTATTTCTAAAAGTGTAAACAAAAAAGGCATATGAAATGTAAAAAAAAACATGGCTTTAAAAGCTAATATTAAGTGAGTATAGATCAGTTTAGTTTAGAAGTATCGGTATCGGTATCGATATCGACGATACTGGGCTTGAAAATATCGGTATCGGATCGAAAATAAAATAAGAGGTATCGCCCATCCCTAGTACACGTGTTTTTGTTCGGGAGGTTTTGTACTCGTTCAGAAGATGTGTAATAGCGCCCCCTAGTGTATAACAGTGAAAACACGAAAAGCCGCAAAAACTCGTTTTGGCAGGAAAGTGTTGTTGTCTTCTAAAAGACGAGATAACTCGTCAATGGCGGGGAAAGCGTTAAGCGGCTCCTG